GCTTCCTGCTCCTTTTTTTATAACAAGCAGAGTAGTAATATGAAGATGTGGCCAAAAAAAAAAATCACACGTCATTCGAGTGTGGCTCAAAAAAAAATTAAGCAAAATGATATAAAAATCGGTATAAGAAAAAAGCTTGCTGTGTAGTGAAAAAAGTAAAATGTTATACATATTGAGGTTAGGGTTTCTGTCCCGACTCTTTCAGAAACATACTACTTATGCCTTATGTATATATTTAACTACATAATAATAAATATAAATAAATATAAATACATATAATCTTAGGTTCTAAAAACCTGATTCAGATAAGACATACTTATCAAATAATATATAAAAAGAAATTAAAATAGAAATACACATGTGAATTAATTAATAAACTATAAATGGAATGATTTATAATTTACATGTACTCAAAGTAGATCTGAGATTTAATAATTATCATCTTATGTTAACATGTTCCCAACATGTTATCTCATGTTAATAAATATATTCAAAAAGAAATATAAAAGAAATAAAATTAAGCTAAAAATCAGAAAGGTCCACAGCTAAAGTAAACAACAATTCGTTACATTCTTCCCTTCTTAAGAAAATTAATGTTCTCATTAATTACTATGGTTTTTTAAAAATTCCTTAATCATTTCTTTTGCATTGGTGAGAGGATAATTAGTTCACACATGGCATTATATAATGGATATTGTTACATGTCCAATGTGGCAATGTTCTGAAGAATAGAGAATCTTCTCTAACAAAAACTAACAAAAGATTATGCAATTATCATGCTATTTTTAATGATCCTACTTGATCAATTATAGCAAATTATAGAGTTAGGGAAGAGGGCCAACTTAGGAGTGAGTTCTTTATTGTGACAGGGTTTTTACAATGCCAAGTTAGATATGTATATGTCAAATAATCAAGGTAAAAATAATAATATCATTGTTGTCATTTTTATCAAAGAATAAAAATCAAAATAACTCCGATATAATTCTCCATCGCAAGTAATAATATCAATAATATTAATATGATAATATTACAAGTAATAAATAATGATGTTAATTATTATTACAAAAGTTGTTAAATTAATGTTTACACCATTATTTCTTATTTTTCAAAGGCCAAGGAGAAAAGAGATTCGAAAAAATCTTTATTTTGCTATTTTAAATTAATTTTAATCATGTGATATTGATACGGATTTAATAATTGATTATATATAATATAAATAAATTCCGATAAAAATTTTAATTTTTAAGGAATACTTATTTTATAGTCTGAAGTTTTTTCAAGATCTTTCATTACTTTATCAATATTTGGACGTTGATTTGGAATTAGTTCCCAACATTCTATTGAAAATTAATTAATTTATATTCGTAAACAAATATATAAATATTTTTATTGAAATATATTTAATTTGAAATAAACAACAACCGACCTTGATAAATATTAATATAATCTTGTGGTGTCCCTTTGACCGGAATTTCCCTATTTCCATATATAATGTGAATCATTTTCGAAGGCCCTGAGTATTGCTTGTAGGGAATTTCCCCACTTGAAATTTCCCATAATAAAATTCCCAAACTATATATGTCTGAAGCTTTAGTTCTTTTAAATTTATCCCCTTCAATGAAAAGCATTGGATCTGAGTATTCTATTGACCCTGCCAATTTTAATAAAGTAATTGAAGGATCAGAGATAAACTTGGCTAATCCAAAATCACTAATCTTGATAATATTATCATGGATAAGGATATTCTTCGAGTGCTTAAAAAATAAAATTATATTAATTTAAACAATTAAAAAAAAAAACTTTTCATTAGAGTACATTTTAAAAAATCAAATAAATAATTACCAGATCTCTATGAAGGATGTCTTGCGAGTGCAAATATTCAATTGCTTTAGCAATTTGTTGAGCAAAATTTAACTTATCACTCCATTTGAGATTTTCGAAGTTGGATTCTAGATAACTACGTAATGTTCCACCATTTGCGTATTCTAATACAAGTATGTATTCATTATTACACAAATCTGCAAAATAAACAATATACGTTATAATATATTTTTATGTAAAAGTATTTACGTATATTAAATTTGATATTAAATATTTATTTTTTTACCTTCTTGCGACACTCCATAAAACTTAATGATATTTTCATGTGAGCCAACTTTCGAATGTTGTTCAAGCTGAAATGTGATAATATTCAAAGTAAATTAAATTTACATTTTTTATAGAAAGATGTTTATTAAAATGATCTTTACCTCATTAACAAATAATTTTATATCATCATTACGAACAATAATAGATTTTAAAGCCACTTTCATCCTTGTCATTTCCTCATCTATTAATGTAGCACTGTCAACAATTCCATATGCCCCTTTTCCTATCCATTTGCGATCTTCAAAAATGGAACAATTATATTTGATAATCTCGTTGTTTTTTATTATATTATCAAACCATTCATGGGCATTAAAATTACGAGAGGCAGAAGCTTCCTATGATCTTCTATAGCTATTTTTAAAATATAATAGAGCATTATTATTAGAGAGATTATATTCATATTATAACCATAACAGAATGTATTTAATAGAAACATACTTGGGCTACTTTTTCGGTTGTATGAATTAACAATGTCATTAATGTCTTTTAAGCAATTCAAAAATAAATAGACTGATTAATAATATTAACTGTTAAAATTAAATAAACGTCAAATTTATTGATATCAAAAAATACCATCTGCTAAATTCTCTGTGATCTCAAGAGCTTAAGATTTATTAGTTATAATTCGTTAGTATTTTGAGAATACTTTTATAGAAAAGATCGTAATTCGATAGTTATCAAATAAGAGTGCACATTATATAACCATAAATAATCTTTGTGTAATATAAAAAATAACTTAACATAAAATAAATACCTACTTGGTCGCATGTATTATAAATATTTTTATACAAAAAATAAATGATTTATTAATAAATAAAATAGAAATATCATATTTATAGATAGGATATTAAAAAAAAAAAAAAATACCAGATGAATAAGATGATACAGGATCTCTTCCAAATTCATTATTTTCGAATTCTTCAATACTTTCAGGAGAAATATAATAAAAAGAAAAACCAATATTTTCAAGAGATTTACAAATATTTTTAATAGTTGGTCTTTGGCTAGGATTATGAACCCATGCAGATGAATAAATATTAATATAATCCAAAGGTGTTCCATGAATCGGTGCTTCTCTTTTACCAGATTTAATTAAATGTAATACATTTAAACCGTACATATTTTCAAATGGCGGTCGACCACTTGACAACTCCCAAAAAATAACCCCAAACTATAAATATCTGAAGTTTTATTTCTATTATATTCTTTCGGATTTCGTAAATATTCAGGATCGGCGTATACCACTTCTCCATCCACCATAGAATCAGAATCAGAATCTAATGATTTAGATAATTCAAAATCTGCAATCAACAACCTTCCTTTATGAACAAAAATATTATTTGGGTTCTATTAAAAAACGAAAAAAAAATGAATTTAGAAATTATTTATATAATTCATAATTTACATAATTAGTTTTGCCTTATAAATAGTATATGCTTACTAGATTTCTATGAATAATATTTGCTTGATGAATGAACTGTAGACCGCTTGCCAAATCTTTTGCCATGTTGATTTTAGTTTTCCAATCAAAAGCTTCGAAATTATTTCGTAAATAAGTTCTCAAATTACCATCTTTAGCATACTGCAATACCAGATGATATGTCTCCGTTGAAGGATCTTGATAATATTTATTGAAATTGAATAATAATATTTTATATTCATTAAATATTGATAAACAAAGAAATAAATGACAAATCTATAAGAATTTATTTTACCCATACTGACTCCATAAAAGTTAATAATATTATCATGACAATTGACTGCATTAATAATTCGTAGCTAGTAGTTTAGGAAAAAATTGTATATTTTAATTTTATCTCAAAATATTTTAGCTGATAAAAATATGATATTTATCAATTAATTACCTCATTCATAAAATATTTGTAATCATATAAACTTTTTAATACAAAATATTTTCCTAAAGTTCTTGAATAGGCCTTAACTTTACCTTCCGTTACTGTGAAGTTATAAAATGTATCATAGTTTATTAATCTAATATTTTGATTTTCTATGATACTTTTAATCGAAACCTTTTCTTCTTCCAAGAAAGACATTTTTAAATAAAGAATTAAAATTACACGAAACTAAATGATTGTTTTAGTACTCAGAATTAAATTTGGAAATTATAAATATCACCCAATATGCAATGGAACAAACAGAAAAATTGTTATTTATTTTCTTTATTACAACAAAATTATGAGTATATTCGTTCCCTTTTCAGGCAGAAATCGGTATCCATCCTACATATATGATTTTTCGTGTAATGAGAGATCATTCAATTTTCATTGTTCAAATTTTTCTTGAATGGCGCAATTTGTGTAACTCAACAAGTTTCATTTAATCAACTAAATATGAATTGGTTACTGTGGATCGATGACGAGACAAATTTTAAAGTTATATAAAATGAATAAAATGACAATGAATAAAATAATAAGGACATTTTGTTCCAACATTATAAGATCATTATAAACAATTTTTTTATTATCTAGGCATACAAAACAAATCGGACAATTTAAAGATGACTGACAATCTGTTACACAAGACTTTCGTCAAATCGTCTAATCCAAGTTTATGGAGCAGAAAGTCTAAAGACATTACACTTTTTAAACTGTTATAACTTTGTATCTAAATATAGAAATATTTTAAAAAATACGTTATTTAATAGCCTTAGATTAGCTCTTTAATTTAACGTATTTTTTTTTTTGAAATTTTTATTAATAAATTATTGATTTATTAAAGTTTGAAAATGATGTATTGTAATATAAAAAATAAAAATTTCAGCGCTAAAAAATTTCTCCGATTGGTCAGATTTCACGCGAAAACGTGATTTTATATTTAGAGCAATATGATTAGTTATCTTTTACATGAAATACGTGAATTAATATGATTATTTCTCGACCTATTCAAAACTTTTGTTGTGTTCATGTGACATATGACCATAAAATTTCAGCGGTAGATTGGTACGTGATGTTTTTAGACTTTTTGTACCATAGACAATACATTTCTAACTACTAATCAAAGTTTATTCTTTTACAATAATTTGCTTATTTTATTAGTAAAGAAACAATATGCAATAAATTTTTCCAGAGTTTGAAGTGACCAATAGAATTAGAGATGGGTTTTGAGAGCTAGGATTAGTTTTATGCCAACTTTTTTCCAATCTTCATTACCATATTCTTCCATTGCCATAGCTGAGCCTGCCGCTACTAATGTCGCCGTCATTGTTGCCGGACCATCTATTTAATAAGTTGTTTTGTTGAATATATGTAAAGTTTAGAGCTTAATACTTTTAATTAAGCACCAATGGTGGTTAACATAATAGAGTATTGAATATATTTAAGGATTTTGATCGTAATATTTATTTCTACTACAGCCAATCACAACGCGAAGATCTTTAATTGTGATTGGATAAAATGACATTCTGAAAATTGGCCCTAAAAAATTTTATTACAATATAATTCTTTGAAAATGAAATTATTATTTTTTTAAAAAAAATGATGGCACCTAGATTTGCCCCTTGTTGTTAACGAAATGAGTGTATATGGTATAAGTTTATTTGACATTTATTTGATAGTTTATTTTATAAAACTAAGTATTTTCTATTAGAGAATTAAAGTTTTCGTAAATTACTATATAGATAAAATAATAAAATATCAATAATATCAAAAAAATATGGAATTACTAAACTTAACGTCATTGTACTAACACAGATTGTAAACAACAAAATTACTTTCCTTTAAATGATATTTTTTAGGTGGATCTTAAGTATTTGATCATTTATCTGAACAAGTTCAAAAATAAAAAAAAAAATAAATAAATCATTAAATAAGCATCGCAATATAAACTATAAAGACAACTTTGAAATTTGATCTGTCTAACTGCTACTTTTCTCTCCACTTGTCTAAGTCAAGACATTTGAATAATAAAGTAACGAAATTCGTGAGAACAAATTATTCAAAAATTCAACTTTTTAGCGGAAATTGGTATCACAAATATAGTGATAGCAATAACAATAAAAAAATATATGATCAATTTATAAAATGATATTTAAAACATTAATTAATTAATTGACCACCATTTTAATCTCCATTTATTATTATTATTATTATTATTAGAAAAAAATTAATAACGTTATTATCATTATGAAAAAAATTATCATTATTTATAAGAATTATTTTTATTATGAATATTGTTTTTAATAAAAAATAAAATAAATAAAACTTATTATAAAGAAAAATAAACAATCTAATAGAATAATTACTTGCTTCATTAAGATGTGATAAATTTTTATATCAAAGATTGTGTTATCTAATAATACTAAGAAATATATCCAAATACCAATCGGATGTTATTAGATTAGAAAGATTCTTCTTAAAATAAGAAAAATGAAATTTAAAAATATATGAACCTCAAATAACCTAAGGTTTTCAATTAGACACAGAATTATTTGAAAAATAATAATTTTGATAACATTAATATTTTATTTATTTATTTAATAATTTTAATTAATATTATACATTGGTGTACTATATCATGATACCCTTAGTAAGTATATTTTGTATGAATAAAGAAATTTGTATTATCTATTTATTTAGATTCAAGATAATATTATTGATAATACATTTCTTAAATAAAACTCAATAATAAATTAATTTGATCATTAAATCAATTTTTCAGTCATTTTATATGAATTACCAGTTTTTATAACGCTTTAGTCTAACGAGTTCTTTTATTTATTTTTAATTGAATTTTGAAAAAATGATTGTAATAATGTTAGAAATATATTTTTAAATAAAACTTAAAATCTACTATTTATTTGTAATATATAAAAAAATTGTAATATTTTTTTAATAATTACTTAGTTTAAGATTTTATAATATCAAAAAAAAATCATTAAATTGTGCTCTATAATTTAATAAGCAAAAAATATGAATAAATAATGACATTAAATAAAATTAAATAAAATAAAATTAAATTAAATTAAATATAACTAATTAATAAATGAAATGAAAAAAGTTAATTTTTTTCTTCATTTTTAGATTTTGGAAGATTTGAATTTAAATTTCCTTATATCACCATAATTCTCATAGTATTTACCCAACTCTTTCTTTAATTCTTCAAAAGTTTGTCGATGTAATTCGAACATTTTAAATTATCATTAATATATTATATTTATATTCAAATAAATTTCTTTATTAATTTAAAAAATTGATTTAACTCATTTAAAAAATCTTTAATTATATCTACATACCTTCACTTCAAATTGGCCCATGTTAATCTATATATCTAACTACTTAGCATAATAAATAATACCATAACCACCTTTTTTCTATTGATACCAATCATAAATTTATCTATTGTGACATTTCCGCTTGTCCATTTATTCTTCATTTGGTCATCAATTGTCATTCTACATGACTGAATGACTTTTCTAGTTTAAGAGGAATAACATACTTTACGTTAATTAAAGTTCAGGCTTGTTGAGCAAGCTTGTTGTTGGACAACTTGTATTTGAATAACTTGCTGTTGCTGCGATTGATGTGAAGCAACTTACCGTTGCTGTGATTTGAACAATTTGTAATTATTGTTGTTTCGGCTGAATAATTTGTTATTGTGGTTATTTTCATAAAGATTGTCCAGTTAAAAGTTGTCTAATATTTAATGCTTGTTGTTGTCGTGCTGCTTGACTTTGGGTAGTATTGTTAATAGTTGTTGTAAAGTATTTGTCGTATTTGTTGTATTGATCTGCAGTAGCTGCTGCTGCCGTTAATGCACAACAGCAGTATTAACAAGTAAAGTATTTTTATTCGTGGTTGTTGCTGCTACAGCTTGTCCAGCAGCTACTTGATAAGCAGTTGATTGTGTAGCATAGTTTTAATGTATTATTGTTATTATTATTCGAATTTAATGTGTTTGAATTTAAAGTGTCTGTTGATAAACATAAAAGTTTTAATGAACCAACTGAATGTATTGTTGTGATCCATTTTGAATTATTCCTTGAGCTGCTGCTGATTCTATGAATAATTTGGTTGTAAACATTTGTTGTTGTTATTGTTGAATTAATTTTTAATGTTTACTAATCGTTGTTGAGTTAATTTCTAATTGTTCTAATTGTTGTAATTTTTGTTTCTGTGATTACGCTTTTGGATCTTTGGTTAAATACTTGTTGATGTTATTGCGCCTGTTGCTGATGTGATTGCTGATGTTGTTGTGTCTGTTGGTGTTTTTGGGAAGCAGTAGCTACATTAGAACTAACGGCATTAACAGCGGTAGCAACAACAGCAAACAGCAGTAACAGTGGAAGCGGCAATGGCAGCATTTACATTTTGATTTGCTTTTATTGTCCTCGTGGGGAGATGTGGAGGTGGTAGTGGAAGAAGTTGAGCGGGTTCTAACCATTTGCGACCTCCGGCAAATGTATTACTAATATTATTATTATTGTTATTACTTACAGCGCTTCCGCCAGTATTACTAGTTCGTCACTACCTACAAGTGATATTAGTTTAATGTTGTTGCAACTGGTAATATTGTAATTGTTGTTGTTGACTACCAAGATTACTAAGATTACTGTTATTCATATTAGTAACAGTATTATAATTATTGGTATAATTATTTGATCTATTTGACATATTCGATCGATTTGGTAATGAATTAATAAATTTATAAATTAATTGATTAGTTGAATTGCTAAACAACCAATTTAATTAACATTTTGAAAATATTTAAATAAGAATCGCATCATACAAATGATAATTTGCTTTATGTAATAAAATCTAAATACATTATATAAAATCAAATTTTCTCGAATATAAATGGAAACTTTTGTAAGAATTTCCAACGAATTGCCATTATAAAGATGATTAAAATACTAGAATAAGTTATTATAAATATTTAAATATCCTAAAAATATATATTATTTTGGACTTACATTTATTATCTCCTCATAAGGATTGTCCTCGATATTCTCATCATATAAATCCTATCGAAGAATAATACCCAATCAAATAGTGATTTTATTATTATCGTCGTTGTCATTACTACGTCATCATGATTATAATTCGATACAATATGTTAAGTTAAAATAGTCTATACCAAATTGATAAAATCTATATATATTCTTGTCTATCGATATTTAATATCATCAATACTCGTGCTAAAAATATATATAACAAATTTCAATTATTATTATAAAATTCACAATATAGAAAAATAGAAAAATAGAAAATATTAATTAAATTCCTATATATTCTTCCCATGCCACCAATAATATTCAACAAGCATTTTTAAATTAAAACTTCAAAGCAATGAAAATATTCTTTTTTAATTCTATTTTGATTTTTATTCTTTCATAAAAAAAATAAATAAGTAAAATAAAATAAAGTATAAAAATAGAACCGAATGACAAATTGGTCGATTATTTAACACTTTATCATCCTTCTTTCTTGGTATTCTCATGATGAGAATATTTTTAAATTGAAAATTTTCATCCATCTTTCTTTAAATTCTACTGTCGATTTTTGTTGACTCTTCCATAAAAATTTATTGCATCGGCATTAACTTTAAAGAAAATAAATAATTATGATGAGTATTGTAAATTAATTAATTAATTAATTGAAAATTACCTTTTCCCTTTTTTGATGATTTGACGTTAATTCATATAAATTCAAAAAAAAAAAAAAATAAATTAATTTAAAATATTATTTAATCACCGAGTCAACAGAGATGACTTGATATAATTTGATCTGAATTTTTTTCACTTGTAATTTTTCGATCTTATTTTTATATTTATTATATTATTATTTTATGATTTTTATTTTTTAATTATTTTAATTATTTATAATTTTTTAATTATTTTTAATTATTTTTAATTATTTTAATTATTATTTTTAATTATTATTTTTAATTATTATTTTTAATTATTTTTAATTATTTTTAATTATTTTTATTATTATTTTAAATTTTCTTTATTATTTCTAATTATTTTTATTATTTTTAATTATTTTTATTATTTTTATTATTTGAAATTAATTAATCAAAAATCTTCGATTTGGAAATTTGATTTTTATAAACACATACAATAAATACAACCTCTTAACCTTGTTTCTCGTTAAATAAACGCATCCTAAATATCATTTCCCACTAGAACTCTTCCCTTTATAAAATTCTTATTTCATTTTATTAATTAATGCCTATTATTTAAGAAGAATGAAAATGTTTTAATATCAAAATACAAAGTGTTCTATAATTCTATATTTTACTCCTAACCTTCTCGCTTTTTATTTTGATCTATGCTTTCTAGTCCCTAAATAATTATGCATAGTACAATTTTTTTTTGATACAACGTATGATTAAAGAATTCTAAAACAAATTTTATTTGTCAGTACAATAAATCTTTTTGTTAATAAACAATAAAACCTACTTTCATAACAATAAACTTTCTCTTCAACTTTACATCATGTAATTTTTTTTAATGACTCCAAATAATCGTTGCTTTTTATTTAATCTTCCATTCTAAAGATTCGTAAATAGTGCTTTGGTATGGTCGATATTCATCATTAATCTCAAGGTTTAGAAAATTTCTTCCTCAACAATGATAATGATGTTTACTTGCCTTTTGTCAATTATCTCGAGTTCCATCCAACTTAATAAATTTCATTTTGATATGGTCAAATTAAATTATTATCCATTTAACTTAGACTAAAACACTGTTTCATAACCCGTAGAAAATTGAGTAAGAATTAAAGTATCCAAAATATTTGTTTAAAATGTAGAACACTATCATTCTTCAATACTTTTTCTATGAAACGGCAAAGTGGTTCGATATTATCTTTTGATTCCAAAAACCATAAATACTGGTCTGCATAATCCAAAACCTTCCTTTCCCAATCATAAATTTCAATTGTCTTTGAAATAACTCAACGATACGATTTGGAATTTGAACTTTGTGCTTTAATGAATTTGGTTGATATGTAAGAACTCCAGTATCAGCAAGTGTAAGTTGACGTTATTTTAGATTTGAGATGCGGATTTATTATCTGGCAATGTTTGCGGATCATAAAGATGTAATTTTTGACCAATAATACAATTCCTTGCACATGACTTAATTCGTGATTCATAATGGCTATTATATATAAAATTTTATTTTTTAATCGTTAAAAAAAGTTTACATCTCTTATGTCGTCATTTGAAACTAAAAAAACATTTGATACTAAAAATATATTTAAATTAGAGCCATTTCTTTTTATTATATTAAGGATGAAAGGGACTTTTAAAAGATAGTTCTTATTACGAAACAAGATTATGGTTTTTATATGTAGATTTCATTCCGTTTTAAATTTCACGGTCTTTTTATCAAATAATTGGTCAGGGGGTTTTTTTTTTGCTATTTTTATACTGAAGAAAAAAGACCAAGGAAAGTCTTATTAACAAGTCACAAATAAATTCGGTAAGCAAACGTGTTACATATATATAATCCAAATAAATTCAGCATTTTATAGGAAAAATTTTCGACCTCGCTCCGTTACCGTCGAAATTTTAATAATTCTAAATCTACACGATTATGAATATCAATGTATTTTTTCGCTGATGTTTTTTTCTTGTATTCTAATTAATAATGCAATGACGAACGTCTCACTTTGTTTATAAGTCAATGTCAATAAAGGAATTTAATGGGAGTTCAGCCTCTATATCTCTTATTTTTCGTCCTCACCGTTTTGTAAGTCATTAAGCTACGATGCTTTGACGTGTCATCGATACAATTTTTCGAAAATTGTAAATTTCAATTGAAAAGAAATTATGAAAAACATTGTCATTCATATCTCATTTAAGGTTTTACGACTGTTATAATGTTATCTTAAATAGTCCAGTCCAGGATCTCTTTTCTTTAACATGGGATGGAATATAAATAAATGACTGAAGTTTATATTTTGCACGCACCATTTCTTATTGGCACCTTATATTCGAAGAAAAGAAGGAATATCAGCAAATTCATACATGAAAATATCCATATATTTCATTAGCGAAGCAACTCTCTTTATTTATATTGGTTTATTACGTTCGATAGAACCACATTTCTAATTTAATTCAATTTCTTCTTTAAAAAGACGAATTAATGATGCTTCTGCTAATAATTCACGCATTGACATATTTCTTTTTCGTGTTGGATCTCCACCTAGTATAAAAGTTCCACTTTCAAATGATTGATCATTAATTTTAGTTTCTTCCGAAGAATTATAAATTTCTTTGGATATTTTGTTTCCTCCTGAAGCAGTCAAATCCAATGAAACCATCAAGCAAGTAAAGAAAGTCATAAAATGATAAGTTATTAAAAATTATATCCATGATATTACAACATATTAAGAAAGTAATATCGATCGATATTTCTTTAATATTTACCAACTTCCCCATTCAGTTGTCTATTATGACGATGAGAATTATCATCATATTTTCCCCATACGTTAAGAGATAATTCATGTAATAGGACTCTTCAAATCGTAAATATTGTCTGAAACCTTTACATCATCCTAAAAATTAGTTATGTTTGTTCGGCTGGTGGTAATTCTTGTGTTTTAACAAATACCTCATCATCTCGTGTCACTATATTTGAAAAATGTTCTATGACTTTTTATATTGTGAAATGTGAATTAAAACCAAATTTTTCACTTATGGCATATTCTAAAAGTTGACATTTTATTTTTCGAATTAGTTTCTATTATAATTAATTAATTTAAAAAACCTTTAAAGATATTTTTAATTTTTGAATTGTGGAATCAATTGGTCACTTTTCTATTTGCATCACGGTTAACATTAAATAATAACTAGCATAATCCAAATTTGAGTTTCAACTTGACGTTGGCATTTTGTTTCGGACCTCAGTGAAGGCACATCGATCAAGACCCATTACAACTTAAGCCCACCTTCAAACGTATGAACACCTCGTCCTTAAATGTGGTTGGATAATTGAATTTAACATTATACTTGATGTAATTTCTCGCCTTTAGATGATGTGGTCGGAACTTGAAATTCAACATTGTACTTAATGCAATTCTTGATAGCTTGTTACAACGTGATCATTGTTAATACTGTAAATACTTTACTTATAAAATTTCCAAGGCGGGAAAAAAATCCATGGTCCATTTACAAAGTCTGGTGATAATGTTTGTATTAATATATATACATATATACGATCTTTTAAATTTATTTTTTATTTTTTATTCCTTTTTAAAACTTTTATTCAATAAAAGAATAATGGTTCTTTCTCATTTTATTTACTATCTTTTTTCTTTTAACGAAATCTTTTCTATCTATTTTCTGTTTTTTTTTTGTGCACAACGGACCATTTTTACTTTTGAGAGAATGACTCCGATTTTTATCATGAAGAGTAAAAAAATAAGTACGTATTCGGAAATTATTTATTTATTACTAAAACCCTAAATCTTTTCGCGTGAGTTTTTAAAATATAAATGACATTATCCTAGTGATAGAGGCTGTTCTTCATCTGATTTCCTTATTTGATAAAGACCTTTTATGATATGAAATGTTGTGAAAATAGCAAAGAAAACGGCAACCCAACGAATTACCGGATCATCTTGTTCAACTGCGATACCACACAATGTCCAAACGATTACGGCGGCTCCCGCGACGTCACCCTTGAACTTTTCAATGTAACCAACTGCTGTCATTTCAAGTAATAATAAAGCCAATACAACTAAGATTTTCATGAGAACGCTAGGTGATTCTCCCGGTTCTTTTTCTGAGAAGGCAGCGAAACCTCTAATTACAACTAATACAGCAATCCAACCATGATATATTGAAAATGGTGCATGAATAAATAAATTTTCATTCCATATACATTTACGGACAGGATAGTGAGTCTTAAGACGATAGTAAACAAAAGAAATTATAGCAAATATAACTAAAGTAGCAATCCAAGAGAAAAGTAGATAATCTGATTGCTACAAGAATATATATTAAAAAATATTAATTTTACGAAAAAAAAAAAAGTGTAAATTAAAAAATAATTTATAGAATAAATAAAAAATGGTTTTAACTAACATAAAGAATATCACCAGTACTATTCACTATTGCGATATTGATAAAATTCCAACCAATGTTCTCGGTAATAATTTTTTCGTTTTTAGCGAAGAATTGGTAAATAACTAAAGGTAAAATAATTTGTTAAGGATAAATTTATATATCTCCTATAGCTTCAATTTTAAATAATATAAGAATTTTACCAAATCCTAAAAACAGGAGATGAATTAAACCCCAAATACCATATACATATGGTGCGGGAGAAATATAAGTTTTATAGATTATTTTAAATGTAGGAAATTTTATCTATTCATTAAAAAAAAATTAAAGTGTTAATTTCATAAATACGTAAATTACTTCAATTCGTAGAGGAAGAGGATCACCAATACTGCACCGCACCGTGTCTTCATCTTCATCATCTTCATCAAAAAGAAGAGAATATAAATTTACACCTATAAATAAAAAATAAGCAAGCACGTTTAAAATTTTGAGGAGAAGAGGAGGCATTATTTTGATTTTCTGAGTTATTTCTTTAAAGTAAAGAACATAAAGAAAGAAGTTAATTGTGGCAAGTATTGTTTATTATTTACTGTATGAAGATATTTTGATTTGTTAACAAAATCCAATATATATATAAAAAGAACTATGGCTTCGTCCAAATATTTATCAATCATTCTAAAAATTGTAGCTATTTTTTTTTTTTTTTTTTTTGAGAAAAAAGGAATAAACGCAATATTTTGGTTAACGAAAACAGTATATATTGGATAAGATGAACTAACTACAAAAATCGAAAATTCGCAGCACGACTTTTTAATTTTCATTTTTATTCTAAGCAGATTTTTTTTTTTGATAAAAAGCCTCAGTGCTAATATAAAAGGCTTTTCAAAAATGTAACATTACCAATTGGACGTGGCGTTTCACAATACATGGCCCGAGCTCTATCGCAACAAAATGATCAAAATTAATCCTAAAACTATTGAATCACATATGTACTTGGATAAAAATATCAAAATTTTGTATTCTTAATTTATATAAATTATAATAAAAAAACAAATATTATGCATTTTTTAGGATATTTAAATGAAATAGTATAGATTTTAAAAGGTTTGAAAAAGATTGAAAATCAAGGAGTAATTATTATTTTTGTTAAAATATTTATATTTATTATATTTAATTTGTAAATAATTATATTTTTTGTTAAAGCATTTATATTTAATTATATTTAATTTGCAAATAATAATTATCAAATAATTAATAATTAAGTTTATGACTGATTTTAGTTATTTTTATACCTCGTTTGAAGATCGAAAAAAATAATGAATATGAAAATTATCGAGGAGTATACCAATAATAAGCCAAATTGTGATTGCTTTTATAATAATCAATAATCAAATACTGTAAATATAAATATATATTTTTACTATTTTATTTTTATTTATAAGCAATAAGAAAGTATTCAAAAATTATATAAATGACATCTATTCTCTCGGGTGTTATTCTTTGGGTACGGTGTGTTCTCGATAAGTATTCGATTTCTTTTACCATTTATTAAATCCCTTTTTTTCCATTTCGGGTCACGAAAATCTTTCAGGGTTAGAATCTATAAAGCATGATGTGCAAATTCCCGACATTTCAGTAAAATTTACAGACATTTATGTGATTTTTATTACTCTGGTTTGTAATTTTACGACGTATACGAAAATATATTAAAAAATAATCAACAAGTAAAAAATATTATAATAGATTGACAAGCTTCGTTCAATATGTATTATTTTAATTTATTCAATTTATTCAATTAGTTAAAAAAAATAATTCATTTAATTTAATTATTAATTAAGATTACATTGTCTTGTAATTATTGAAGCTACATTTGAAATAATAATACATATTTAGTGTAAATACGAAAAAAATAAATAAAAATAAAGAGGTCAAAATATAAAAAAGCAATCTCTACGAATAATAATAAAATATAAACTTTTCCTGGAATTTTTTGACTGAAAGTTGTGGGTATGATCATTTTTCGTAAGTCCTTTTAAAAAACAATTATTTCATTTATATATAGATTAATGTAATTATCAAGTTTTTTTTTTACTTTGGAATTTTTTTGGTAAAAGAGTCGCGGTATGATCAATTTGTTCCTTTGACGATCACCATTTCGCTTTTATAAAATAGGTAAAGGAAACGAATGGATTTTAAAAAATAGTTCATTGGCATAAAAAGAAATTTTTATTTTTGTGACATTTTTCTTTATTTGAAAATAGATAAAACTTGTAACTTCGAGATAATGATTAACTGAGTATGCAACATACAAATAAAAATGGGACATGGATCAAATTTTGCTGGCTTATAAAAACTTTCACTACAAATTTAAAAATTTAAATTCCATATTGATCTTTTAGAAAACTCAGCATTAAATAAAAAATATAATCCATTCAATAAATAAACTAAATAAATAAATAATGTGCGCTTATACATACTTATTTCGATTAAATAAAAAAATGATATTTGATGAATTTTTTGAAAAATAAATAATAAAATAAGATGTTCTATTTTTTTTTTCGCATTATATGTAATTAAAGATTTCGCTAATTAAAAATTTTTCGTTTCCGAATTGAGAATACTATGTGATTTTTTTTTTTGGTTCATGATGAGAATATTTTATCCATTTTTCCTTTGATAATATTAATTGCACATTATAATTTTTCTATAAGTAATTCATCAATATTTACTAAAGTTTTTAAAAACTTTACTTTTGCATTATACAATTTGTATTGTAAGTTAAAATATTTGACAGTTCTTCAATAATATCTTTTTGGAAAATAAATTTTTTATAAACAATGAATACAATAATTATTCTTTTTTTTAACTCTTATCGTAATTATTAAGCAAATTTGGGTGATCATTAATTGTGATTCGCGATAAACAGAAAGAAATATATTCCGAAATATGAATATCACAAGAACTATCTTATAAAAGTCCCTTTCTCTATTAATATCATAAAAAGTAATGGTTCTGATTTAAATATATTTTAGTTTCAAAGGACAACATCAATAAAATTAAGAGATATGCCTTATTTTTATATTAATTGTGAAAAGTTACCCCAAAATCTATTATATAAATCCTTTCCGTTTCTAACGAATCCCGAATTAAAGTAAAATTTTTGGATACTGAAAATCATTGAGTCAGAATGTGGTAAAAAATATTGTACAATTAAAAAAGATTTGGTATATGATAGATAAGAATTGAAAATCTATTTTTAATCAAAATATAAATAATTTTTTAAGGAAAGCGAGATTTTGACACGTATAATTCAGAAAATTTGGCAATTTCAACTGAAATTAATATTAATTTTTTTCAATGGTAATAAAATATATTAATTTTTATCTGGTTTTGTTAAGTTCTATTTTTGACATTCATGTTTGTTTTTTCGTCCCTACAGTACTTTTAATTAATAAAAAAGCACCAATTATTGTATGTATTCTGTAATGAAGTTCTGGGATAAGGTTACAAGCTGAAAGTTGTTTCATTTTTTGCTTTTTAAAGGACATTGAAACCAAGGAAAACGAGATTTATTAAAAATCCGAAATTTACTACAGCTCGAGCACCCTAGTCACATTAAATCTTTTGCCCACTTTTTAAAAAGGTATAACTGCCATGAGCTACAAATGTACGATTTTATTTATTAAATATAATTGATATAGATGAAAATTAAATAAACTTATATCAAATCAATTATTTATATATTATAAGGGTTTAAAGCACCTGCATTTTGGTGCATGGGTTTTATTGTTGACAGATAAAAGGTGATAAATATATTCTTTAGAAAAATTTAACAGATCGTCCCAGAAATGTTGCACGGATGTATGTGCGAAATTCATCCGATAATATGTTGATTTATATCACATGCTCGCACTATAAATTACATTTGGTAAATTAAAAATTAAGCATTATACAAAATCAGGATTCAATGCATATTTACCCAAGCATAGTCCTAATCATTTGATGAGATTAGATTAAAATTTCCAAAAAAAAGTTCATAATGAGTGGTTGTTTTACGCCAAACATGATTTTGGAGAATCTCCTAATAGTTTATTTATAAATTATTGTTGCAAAATTAAATAACAAAATAAGAATAAATCGAATTCGAATCATTCCATTTTTTTTTTAAAAAAATGACTATATTTAATGATTAATGACTTTTTACTGCCCCCAATAAATTCATCAATTCGTTCTTAAAAATTATCTTATTAAACAAATCTATAATATTCAATATTTTTGAAATTTTTTACATTTAAAAAATGAATCAAAAAATCGCATTTACTACTATCTTGGTTGCGTTTTCCGTACTCTTTATTTGCTTTACGAATGCTTCTCCAATTGGATTGTCACCTCGTTCACCCGGTAGCGTCGCATACGTTGATTTCACGAAACCCATCCTTGGTAGAGTCACTTTTACTGAACTTCGGGGTCAAGTCGTCAGAGTAACCGGACAATTTAATACAGGATTCCCTGATAGCACTAGCAAATATGAATATCAAATTACTGGCGAAGAAAAGGGAGTTATTGAAAATGATGAAATTTTTCCACCTGGAACTTCCCCATTTCAATTTGAAGTCAAAAATATAACCATCCAATTTTTTGTCGGGAAAAATCTTACAATCTTCCGTAACAGTAATGTTCTTGAAACGGAACCTATCAAACTAGTTTAATAAAGAATATTATAGGATAAATAATTATAGAATAATATGAATAAATAATTTTTGATTTCTTCTGTTCTTCTACCCTCAATTAAATAAATATCTTTATTATTTTAACTTTTGTATTGATTAAATAGTGATTTAATGATTTATTATATAAATAAAGTCCAAGAAATTTTTCTTTTACAAAAAATTGCATACTTAATCGAAACGTGAATTCAGAAATAATAATTTTTTTACAGAAACAAATTTTTAACTTAAGCATGTAACACGAAACATTTTTCAAAAAAAAAAGAATAATTGATTCATGGAAGTTAAATATAAATGATATAAGATAAAAAATATGTTACGGATAATTCAAACAGTTCCCATGATCTATGTCGATCATTTTCGCCAAAATTATAATTAACTTGCATCAGCATTTACATTAATTTGGGCCGAAATGATCGGTATTCCATAATGGGAAGCCATTTATGGTGACGAGATAATCAAGAAATATTTCTAAAGACAGTTAAGATAAATCAAAAATGCCATTTAGCCTACTTTACTAATTTGTTGAAAAGGTCAAAGCTAATTCTTTATTATAGGTCTATTAAAAAATATTAATTTTCCAATTGAAATTACCCACATAATAATTTCAATACTATAAAGATCAGAAGAATGCGATTATCGATATTTATTCAATACTTCTGGTGCAATATATAGTATGGCAATATGCCATATGCTCCAGATAATATAATTTCATTTGCATAATCCTTAATCTCCTTCTCCTAATCTTATGAATTTTGCTTCTGTTATTATAAGGTTATCAGGATGGATATAAATCCTTTTCTATAACTAACCTTTAATTCTTCAATAAATTCATTGGCTTTGTTTATCTCCTGTTACTTCAATAACTAATAACTTAACTTGATTTCTTTTATTATAGAAGAAATAACATCAGAACAATCAGATGAGGTAACAGAATAAGTATCAAGTGGAATAAGTTTTTCCCTTTACAATTTCCTATGTATCCTTTTTAGGAAAAGAATTGAGCTTTTTCCTATTTTAATGGTGTTCGTAATATATTTGGCTCTATTATTAAAAGAGTTAACTCTTCAAGTTTTTTTTTTTTTAAAAAAATTTCTAGGTTTTGAAAGATTTGAGAAATCAAGAAGTCTACTTGCGGATATGTTTACAATTTATTGGAGTTGTGGTCTAAAATTCTTCAACTTCAGCTTTAATTTGAATTTTTAATTTCATTATTATCTTTTTTCCCATATATAGCATTTACCCAACTCTTTCTTTAATTCTTTAAAAGTGGTTCAATGTGTAATTCGAGTAGCATAATTATTTGTGTGTAGATGTGCGAAATGGAGTTTTTGGATCAAAATCCATCCATATTTTAAAGTCAAATCTTTGTCATGTCACATATGGGAGAAGTCCAATAATAATTTCATAAGCAATAGGTGCAAATGAATAAACATAAGTAGCCTTTATATACTCTCTTCGGTTAATGTTCAGAAACGGTTTATTTTGGGATTTTTTTATGTTTCTGTAGTCATACATATACTAGGATGAAATATTTCCGGGATGAAAATCACAATGAAATATATCTGAAATTTATTAATAAAGTTTTTAAATAGTTTAATTTATAATTTATACAATACCAAGTGATATTATTAAAATTATTATTTAAATAATTTCTAAGACTTCCACCTTTAGATCCAAGATCACAAAGATTACTTTTAAATAAATTTTTTGATATCATATATTTCATTATAATTATAACAGATACTGTATAAAATTCAGTTGACATGCTTGGATGGTTAATTTGGGATATATATTAATGATATTAACATTGTTAAACCACAATAAAAACAGAATCACTGTAAAGTGACAAATATTCATATGCTAATAAAGTTTTATACAGTAAATACCCAACATAAGTTATGTAATGAATGATTGATTGATTAATTTATAAAGTTTAAATTTTAAATGATTCTTTTATAATATTATTATTATGCTAGATAAAAATCATAATATTACTATCCTTTTCTAGCAATGAAAATAATAATTATGGGCTAGTCGTAAATAACCACCATGGATAAAAATTACATACAAGATCTTGCTTTGCCATGACCGTAATTTGCGTTCCAGGTGGTGGAAATTTGAAGAGACTGTAAGGAAAAGTCAACAAAAATGGAACAGATTCCTATTCACGTAGTTTGGGTATTAGGAGTCTATACATACTGTATTACTAGAATACCCGCTTATCCAGCTAGGTGTACAACGGAATACATAATAAGCTTCCATTTCATCAGCTTCTCCATCATTATTTGACGAAAAAAAGAAACCCTATAATTCCTGACGGCTTGGATGAGAGTTTTACCATATAAATCGATGGTAAGTGTCTTCGACTCTATTGTTCATTACTCCAAACAGCATTATCAATCTTGTAACCTGCACGAAGAAAGAAATGGAGAATATTTAAGCATAAGGAATTTGAGAAATTGTTCAATCATTTTTGGGAAGCGTACCTGTACAATCGGAAATTTCTAAGCTATACTAAGCATAATAGATAAGAATATTGTAAGAACAAAACAATTTGACTTCTTCATGTTTATATTTAATAAAAATCGATATTTGAAGGGCTTAATACATGGTGGTAAGAAACTATGCTGATAAACCCTAACCCGTGAATTAAGGTAGTTACAGAATAATTGTCACGAGAAAGAATAGGATAAGAGTCAATACATCCTGGAAAAGGTTATTATTTCTAGTGAGGGTGCACGAATTCCACATGGGATGTGCATGGGATTTCGAAGTGTTGCGAGTGTCACAGGAGATAACAGTAAGATGACAGTGTAACAGGATGAGTGTGTTACCATCTAGATGACAGATTTCTCATCGCTGTACGTTGTCCTTCATCCTTGTGTGTCATCGTTAAAAATAGAAAAGGATGTGTTTAGACGTGAGATCAAAGAAATTTGTGGATGCTTTTTTTTTATGTGCCGAGTTTTGAAATTTTGTGCTAGCACACATATCCACACATTGAATTTATATTACTATTATGACAATTACTTCTACTACTACTATGACAAATGATATTTTCATCATTATAATATTCGACAATACTAGTTGGGTCACCAAAATAAACTTCTTGTACTCATTGTTTCCAATTTTCCGTAAATGATTCATCCAGTAATAAATCATCGGAATATAAATATGCTGCACTATTGTGATGATGTTTATCATTATTTTATATGCTCTTTATGATGATTATTTCGATTTAATACAATATAAAGGTTTAGTGTCATTATTATTAAAGTTGTTGTTGTTGTTATAATTATGGTGGCGGTTCAAATTATGTTGTCGTTAATGAGGATCATAATATTGAGATGAATAATTTCTTTCATTATAAAATTTAATCAAAGTTGGAAGATTTTGTTAATTATTAATAATAATAATATTTTTTTGTTGAATTCACATTTTTATCAAAGATAGAGAGAGAAACGGTGAGATAAATAAATTCTTATTATTGTAGTTTTTCACGGAAAGTGAAATAAACAATTTTTTGAAAAAGTTTAAATTTCAAATGAAAAAGTCATTTCTTATCATTGTTGAAGATATGATGGGAATTCAATGAAGATATTGTTACAGTGAAGATTTAAGAAATAGCTACATAAAGAAAAAGTTAGTTGTGGTTACTATTTATGTAAGATATTTTTGACTAATTTGTTGACAAAATCCAATATATTTATAAAGCAACTATGGTTTCGCCCAAATATTCATCAATTATTCCAAAAATCATACCATTTTTTTTTTGAAAAAAAAGAATGAACGCGATAAAATATTTTAATATTTTGGTTAACCAAAACAATATCAAATATTGGGTAGGGTGAACTAATTACACGTGACGTTTCATAATACATGGCCGATTTGCTCACAATTTTTAAAAATTTTTAAAATTTTTAGATTTTTTTTATTAATTATTTTATATAATACATACATTTCTTTATTCAATTAGCTTTTACGAAAATCTTAATAATGAATAATTCACATCAAATCTACGTGACGATCTAAAAACTCGCTCGTTTGGGAGATGAGACCTTTGTTGCATATAAAGACCAATTATTTACACTTCAATTGAAAAATTAGAAGTACTAAAGTTTAGTAAAGAAATAATTATTAAAATATTCATTATTTTTTTTTATAAAATAAAAGAAGTGATTGTTTAAATATTATTTTTTTTTTTAAAAAAAAAAATCAATAAGTTTTTATTTTTTTTTGCTTTTATTTATTTGACATGACGCAGTTGATAAAGCTTGTCCATATTTTGTTGATCAAAGTGATGATATAAAAAAATTGATTACAGCACAATTGTCCCATTTTTATTACGACTGACTATGGTTTATTCACTGTGCGAATTAATTTTCTTAATTCTGGTACTCATTCGATCTATTCTATAATAATATTATCAATTATTATCCATTAAATATTTTTTCATATCCTTCATCAATATACATATCAACGCTTCATTATATTAAGAACGATCAATAGAAATGAGTATAATTATATACTGTATATTTGTACTAATGATTTGAGTTCAATTTGCAGAGAATCTTTACAAGTGAACTCATTTTATAACGAAGATTGTTATTTTTTTTAATTTTACACTTATTTATTATTTATTAACGCATTCAATTTCTTTGATTTTTAATTAAAAATTAAAAATAATACTAGCAACCATAACAGATAATATTATAAATAAAATTTTAATAACACATCATCATTACGTAACTCTCGTGATAATAATTTAATGGTTAGTAAATGCTTGTCATTATTAGTCTAGAAGAAGAAGTAATGATGATTATTATCAATTATTATTTGTTATAGTTATTGTTAACAGTTTTCTTATTAATTCTATCTTTAATATCTACTAATAATAATTACATTCCCTCATGTTAATAAATGAAATTGAATGAATGAGAAAAATGAAAAAATGAAAATAATTTCATATTAATTTTATGATTTTTAATGAAATTTATCACTTGAATGATTTTCCTACCAAGAATTCTTTACTTTTTTATTTCAAACCCTTGGCCACGAATCAAAAGAACTAATATATGAAGTATCAGTAGATAAATTAGTTAAATTTGAAAAAGTAGATAAAGCTCATGATACAGCAGAAATGGTAAGTAAATCTTATTTTGAGATTATGGTGATTATTATTTTATTTAATCAATTTGAACTTTACCCTCATAAGCGAATAACATCCTATTATTCGAATTGTACACTTTCCAAATGAACAAGGTCTGTGTTTGGCAGTTAAAAATTATTACTATTTGTGGTGATAATATTATTTGTAAGTGTATTTGTATTTATTTATAATTTGTATTTGTAGAGATTTAATTTCAAAAAAAAAAAAAGATTCAAAAATACAAAGAATTAAAAATTGCCATACTTGTAACTTATAATATAATGTAAAATGGTCCCTTTGACACAAGAGATAACATATTATTTTTAGATTATCATAAATTATGCTATTTCTTTTACTTTTATTATTATATACAATTTTAAACTTATTTTATTCTAATTATTACGATTAATTAATATTTTAAATTAGATTCACACTTTCTACGATTTAACTACATTTTTGTAATGGTGTTTCAGAAATAATATCAAAAATATAAATAATATAAAATTTAATCTTGGTTTACATATAAATAGTTGTATTTATTACCTAATTGATTATAATATTTTTAATAGACATCAACATTTTAATATGATATAAGTGTAAATATTTTCAAATTTATTGATTGGATAATATTTTTTTATAACAAGAAGTCTAATTCCCTTTTTATTTTTTTGCTTTCCATTTTAAACAAAACACAAAACATCTATTGGTTGGCTTCATGGCATTGCAAATGAATATCTTTTCTTAATTAAAAAAATTTGTATATAAGTAAATAATTAAATATTAATCACATACAAACCAAGTTATAATATTAAAGTATAAGTCTTTTAGTTGTAATGGAATTGATAATAATCCAAAACGTTTTTCCAATATAAAAGTGAATAATAAAAGAAATATTTAATTAGAATAAATTATTCTGTTTATAATTTCTCTTCATTTTATTTCCTCCTTTTTTCTGTCTTTGCCGCTAATTTCAACACATTAACTTGCAGTATGAAAACTAAAAACAAGGGTTAATTAAGCAGAAAAAAATAGTCTAAACGAGAAAGTAGAATGTAAGAACTTTCCATTCGAAACTTCAAGTTCTGATTTAGGGTCAGAAGAAGTAATATATTATAACTATCTCCTTTAAAAAATTTTTAATATTTATCACTTCGCTATGATATAATTGCAAAACATTCAAATTTGAATTTTTAAATTTAATATTCTTCCAGAAGCAACAACGTTTGTATAAATTATTCAAAAAAGAAAAAGAATGATGTAACTTGAAGAAAATAAAATTTGGGACTACATGATTAAATAGAAGTTTCTCGAAATATAATTTTGCTTTCATACCTTGAAAATTGGATTGATGTTTACTCATATCCGATATTTTCAAATTTCCAATGAAAATATTATAGAAAAAGAAATAAAAATTATGGACTGACATTTTCCAAAATAAAGATATTAATTCAACAATTTTACTACTACCTCGTAAAATGTTTAACACTCGTGGTACTTTATTGTTATTAAAAAATATGCCAGCTGAAATTGTCTCTTGAGTTGATAAGAAAAAAGTATCATATGAAGTTAATCATAATCCATATGATATGAATTCAATTTTATTTTTTGTGTATGCAATAATTAATTTAGACATAATGCATTTTGTGACTAGAACAAATATTGTATTAATTACAATTGTATTTACTCAAATTTTAATATAAATTTAAATATTCTAAAACGAACGGCAGTTTATTCTTCTTTAAAAAATAGGGATATTAAAAATTCTATTCTTAGTCATGTAAAAAAGGGTAAAAAGTAAAAAATATGCAAGTAAAACTATTTTTAATAACGCTTGCTTGTATTCAAAATTTGGATAATTTCAAAAAATTTGAAATTTATTGCGAAATAAAAATTTAATTTATTGTACATAAATTTGATAGAATGCTATAATGCAATAAATGACTTCAATTTAAAGTATTTTTTTTTCTAAAAAAAATGGTTCTATTTTTTTAATTCTTGATGTTCGGAAAATACCTTAAACTTTTATATAAAAATTTGCTGGTGTGATTTAATTAAATTAAATTATCAAATTGAATTTTTTTTTTATTTCTACTTTAATTTAAAGTACAGATATAAAAAATTCATAAAATAGACATAAGCTAAGTTTAAAATAATTACATATAAAATGTGAATATCAGAAATAAATATCATATATTTAATTATTTTCTTAAAATATAAAACTTAAATATTTTTCTTAGCGATCTTAAATACTTCATAATTGATGATTGGAAAGTGTGGTGATGATGATGATCTTAAAGGTTCTTCATAATATTTGCTATGTAATCCGCAGTAACAAGGTTCATCTAAAGTGAAATCAGATTCAGCACTATAAATCCAAAAATCTTCAAAATATGGACCCGATTTATTTTGATTATTTTTAGATACATTCATAATTGCATATTGGGGGTTTGTTACTCTGCTAATAAATGAATTTTGTATTTTACCATTTTTTAATGAAAAAATGAAACTATCATTTGTTGCCATCAATTTATTAACAATATTACTGTTATCCCATGCCAATGGATTATAACCTCCGATAATTTCATCTGTTCCTTTAACTTTTACTAAAACAACTGTAAAAGCGTGACCATGACAGATATTCCAAAATGTTTGTGGTTCAAATCCATCCCGAGTTCCACGTAGGATTAATTCAAACTTATATGGAATATTTATTAAAGTATATGCAGTTGTCTTACGGTCAATCCATGTAGAAATTTCCGCTGCATGTTCTTCAGAAATGATAGTAGAAAAAGATTCTATTTGTTCTTTTGCACGAGGTGGTAATTCTGTAGACAAAATTTTTCTTGGTGGCAAAATAGTTGATTTTACTGGCCGGTTAGGAATTAATAGATGCTGATTTATATCTTCCCAAAGTTGTTTATCTATTATTTTTTTGAAAGGTTTAATTTTATCAACGACTTCAATACTTGAAAGATGAAAATAACGAATATGAGGTAAGCATTGTTGTAGAGTAGTTTTTAGTGTAAGGAAATTTTCCTTGGTCCAATCATCAAGGTTAATAGGAAGAGTAGAAGTTTGAGAGATTCCCCACTTGATGACATAATCCCAAATTTTAACTTCTTCGATTTGCAAATCATCTCGTGTGAGAAGAGAGACCAATGCTGATTCTTTGAGAGAAGTAAAATCATCAGCATCAAAAATAAGGTTTGGATACTTTACAATAATATCATTACAGAAACTTTTTAATTTTTTAAAATCGTTTCTACTAAAAATAAAATGATAAATAAAAGAAAAATGTGTTCTCAACCAGGAGCCTTTAGTTTCAATAAGAAGTGTTTCTAATTTATCGGTTAATTCCTCAAGCTCAAATTCATCAGCAGCTAACATCAAATCATAAATAAATCTAGTTTCATGATTTTCTAAATTAACAATTCCTCCATAGATGTATCTAAAAAAATTTATAAATAAATAAAAAAATTATAAATAATAAATAATTAAAAAAAATAATAAATAAAACAAATTAATAAAATTTCAATATCTGATATAGGCAATAGTATTTATATTATTTTGATGATAACTTACTGAAGAATAACATTAAAAATTTTAGCAGAAATGTTTGACTTGATTATTTTAATATTATTTTCATTTGACTGAACATTTTCTAATTCTCTTCGAAAATAAGATGATCGGAATTTCAATAAGTTGGAATGTGCCGTAAACGATTTTTCCTTATTTTCAGCTTCAATTATTACATTATAATCTTCTTTATCATTGAGAAGTTCAATAAGATTTTGAGATAACTTGTCAAAGAATTTTAACGACATTTTTTTCTTTTTGTAAATTTAGCAAATTAAATGTCAAAGAAAATACAGGATAAAAAATGGAATATTGATTTAAGCGAATATTGTATGACAAGAACACAATTTCTTATTCTTTCCAGATTCAATCCAGATTCAATCCAGATAGGCATCCGATCAGCCGAACAAAAATACAATATGGATGGAATCCAAATTCGTAATCAAATGGTCACCTGATAATTTTTTTTTTATTTTATTTATTGACAGTATTTTTTTTTCAAAAAATATGAACGAGTCACGAGAAAGTTGGATGATAGTATTAAATAATCGGACCAATTTATCAATTATACTTAATTAAGTTTCTTTTTTTAACAAAAATTTATTGAAACAAGTGCAAGAAAAAATATTTTTGTTGAAGTCTTAATTTAATTTAATATTTAATATGTTAGTGAGTTTAATCATGAAAAGATTTTGATTAATATTTTTATTTTTCTATTTTGAATAACAATGATTAAAACATCAATAAATTTTTCTTGTAATATTTAACATGAATAAGATATTAAAAAATATTTTATTAAAGAAAACCAAATATATACATTTTTTAGTATAATTTTTATTTTTTATCGAGGATATAGTATTAAATATTTTTATTAAGTTTGAAGCTTATTTTAGCTTAATTAAAATATTGTATCGAATGATAATTGTAATAATATAAACTATTACTCTTCAATAAATAAAATAGAATAATAATAGTTTATTTTGTATTTGGTTGAATATTTAAATTAAAAAAAAATTATTCAAAAGATAATCGATCATAATAACAATAATTAATCTTATTGACGAAAAATAAATTTATTTAAAAAATGAATATAATTCTTTGTAATTATTGCATTAAAAGCGAAAGAAAAATAAAGAAAGGTAAATGAACTATAACAAATATATTATTGTTAAATTATTATTATAAAAATATTTCAGTGAAATTATTTTTTCATCATTAACATTTGTGTTTAGTAGTATGCATCAAATTATTATCATCAGATGATCATGTTTAATGCCCTGATATTCTCTAAACAATGTTTTCAATTTGACAGATGGACACTTCAAAGCGTTCGTTAAGCATTATCCATTTGAACTAGTGCAATCTGGACCGACTCCGGATTGACTTTCTCCATTTTCAGTTTCAGTCCACAGCCAGCCAAATTGAACTTTTATGTAAGATTCGATTATTTATTTATTTTTTTGAAATAAAAAATTCCTTAAGAAGTTTTTATACCAATACAAATATATTATGTTTAATTTTAGTGTAAATATCTGGATTTTATTTTTTGAGTGTTCAAAATCTGCGTAACGAACAATATCAGAATTTCAAAAGTAAAATATTAACTGTATTTCATTTCAGCCTTTTTCACTTTCTTGTTTCTCGTGAAACTTCTTCAATTAATTTTATTTAACTTTAAAAGTTTGCTTTACTGAAAATTCTCCATCTTAAATGACAACATTATTCATCTCCATCTTTAAAAGTTCATTCAAATGTTTTCCGTTATCGATGGTATCCCTATTTCTTAGGATGAATTTAAAAATAACTGCAAATATTTATTGATATAATTATTATCAAATTTTAACATATCAATTTATTGAGCTATTAACTGCTAAGAATTTCAACTTGAAGAATTTATTTATCTTGGCAAAAATTTTAAACTTTATAAAAGTTAATTGTAGTTTTTATCAAAGATATAATTGCAAAACAGCTAAATTTGAATTTTAAATTTATTATTCTTCCAGAAGCAAATTTAGTTTTAATTATTCAAAGGAATGACTTACAACTTGAAAAGATAAAATTCGGAACTATATAATTCAATGGGAGTTTTCCGAAAATATAATTTTGCTTTCAAACCTTGAAAATTGAATTGATATTTACTCATATCCGATATTTTCAAATTTCCAATTAAAATATTATAGAAAAAATGTATTCATTTCAACACATTTTCCAAAACAAAGAAATTAATTCAATAATTTTGCTACCTCAGAAAATGTTTATCACTCGAGGTACTTGATTATTACTACTAAAGAATATGCAACTGAAATTGTCTCTTGAGTTGATAAGAAAGAAGTATCATTTGGGTTAATCATAATCCTCATTAATTCAATTTATTCTTTGTGGATGCAGTGATAAATTTGGACAAATGTAAAGTATTTTGTGATTAGAAACAAAAGTTGTACTATCATAAATTTTAACAGAATATAAATTTATCTAAAACGAATGGCAGTTTTATTTTTTCTTTAAAAAATGAGGATATTAAAATTCTATTCTTTAGTCATTTTCAATAACCCTAACTTGCGGTGAAAATTTTTGTACGATATTGATATTCTTTCTCTCTGATTTGTGCTTTGTTTCAAAATTAGTGCATTTTAGATATTTACTAGCAGTGAGAAAAAAATGGGAAGCGATAGACATTGACAATATTAATTTATGTGATTATTGTAGATACAGTACTCATTATATAATGATCACCTAATATAATTTTCAACCATTTGCATTTTTTTTTATCCTTTATTTTATAGTTTTCTCTGTGCACACTCAATCATATTTTTTTAAGTTAATACAATAAAATTATGTTTTATCCAAGGGATTATAAATAATTAAATAACAAAATACAATCAAAGCTCTGATAGTTTTCATAATAAGGTATCAAATTAAAGAATTTCCTTATAAATTTCTTAAAAGTGATGATTATAATAGTTTCCTTATTTTGTTGGGATGTTCAAGCTTTGCATGTCATTTTAAACTATCTTGAGAATTTCATAGTTACTATTTTAAATTCTTCAGCAGGAAGATTTCTTTTTTTATACTTCCGATATGATTAATTTCATTAATTTTTTATCTCTTTTTTTTTAAATATAAATTACAATTTTCTAATATATTTTATACATTTATTATCTATTGTAATACCATATAATTTTCAGACTAATATTCAATAATGCAATAAAACAAACAAATTATAAAAATAATGTAATAAATAACTTTGATTTTATAAAAGTATCTTTTATCAAAAAAAAAGAGTTTAGGATCAGGGGCATTTTATTAGATTGAATTTTTAGTTTTTACAATTCGAAATACTAAAAATTTAATATCAATTGAATCCTAAATTAGCAGAAGTTTAATCAATTGATATTATTTTTTAGTAGTACATTTTCTCATATCTCAGGTTCAAAATTTCAGATAAATAATGTGTTTTCTTTGATATTTTATTATATTCTTATCTGGTTTCTCTCTTGGGGATGGGCTCCATGATAAATTCTTAGATTTTTTAAAATAATTGATATTTGATGCAAAATTACTTTTATTAAAAAAATAGAGTTGAAATCGAAGAAAATTATTGTTATATCTTAAAAAAAATGATAGAATTTTGTACGTAGTAAAAAATTGCATTGCGTTTAATTTACAAAATCTTTAATTGCATTTATTTAAATTTATATTTTCTATATTATCAATTATTAATGCGAAAAAAATTTTTATTTATTATTATCCGTATTGGAAAATGCAAAAAAAAATAAAATAAAATATTTTATCAAAAAATTCGCCAAAGACAAAGCAATAAAGTTTTTTTAGTTACTTTTTTAAATAAACAAAATAATTGAAAAAAGGGAAAATCGTTTCCTTTTTCCTCAAAAAGAAGCGTTTTTCTAAAAAGCCCCAAACTATTTATGCTAATTTTAAATTTATTAAATGTAAAGAATGATGAGAAAGAAATGTTTATTATTTTGAAGCTTTATTATATGTACCTTTAGATATAAAATGTTTATTATAGAATAATAATTGCAGATAGATATTTATGAAATGATTTAAAAAAAGTTTTAAATGCTATATTGATTAATTATTATTAAAATTATATTTAACTGAAAGAAGTACTTGATTAAATTCACAAATATAAAGGTGAAATATTAGAATAATGATAATTATTATAATGATCTTTGAATTCTGATTTCTTTTCGGAGCTTTTTCTTATCCAATTTAAGAGAAGAATGTTTGGTTCGACTATTAAAATAAGAATGAAAATACAATGAACTATATCTAATTTATGATTTCTGAAAATTCTTAATAAATTTTTAAATAGTAAAATTTATACAATACCAATTAAAATTATTAGAATTATTATTTGGATTTAAAGGCGGAAATCTTAGAAATTATTTAAGATTATGAAGATTACTTTTAAATAAATTTTTGTTATCATCTTTTCATTATAATTATGACAGTTATACAATTCGGTAGACATGCTTGTGTGGATTATCAATTAACTTTGTTAAATTACAATAAAAACAGAATCATTGTAAAGTGACTAATATTCATATGTTAATAAAAAAATTGCCAATTTTAAAATTTAATGTGCGGAATGTACATTAGCAAAAAATTTGAAAACTCTGCATATATTAAAAGGCATCCTCACAAATTTTTGCATTTAAAATTCTAAATTATGTATATTATGCACAGGATTTAAAATTGAATTTCAAACACTGATGTTAGATGTGTATATAGTTATTAATACCCGAATTTCAAAATATATTAATTATAAAGTTTAAATTTTAAATGATTCTTTTATAATATTATTATTATGCTATTGTTACAGTCTGTGCAGAATGATATAAAAAGTTACATCAAATTTATTACACTGAGGTGGCACAAATGTCACAAAAGTGTTGTGCAAGTTTTGGAGTATTACAAATGTCACGGGGGATAATGGCAAGATGACAGTGAAACCTAGGTGAGTGTACTGCCATCCAGGATAATGGATTTTTCATCCTCAGACAATATGCTTCATCCTTGTATGTCATCTTTAAAAAAAAGAGGAAAACATGCCCAGATGTGATGATAAAGAATAAAGTAAACAACTCAAAGGTATAAAATAAGAAGGGGATCCTTTTGGGAGAAAAAAAAGGAGACCTTTGAAAAATTTAGACTTTATAATTATTTTTTGATTAATTTTGGGGATTTACATTTTATTTCCTTATATTTACATAAAATATAATAATAATTTGAAAATCTTGTAATAATTTGAAAAAGACAATAAATATTCTTTTGTAAAAGTTTAGTAATAGAGATAAGACATGCCAAAGCAGTGATATATTTCTGTTGCTATCCTTTGTAATAAATTTGATAACAATAGTAATAATTTTAAAATATCTTATAATACTTCAATAAATTTTACTTTGTAATAATGGTAATATTAGTGAGAAATGGTTAACAGGCCATAATACCTCTATTACTAATTTTGCAATAAATTTTCATAAATTGTTTTATTTTGTGCATAAAGTTACTGTATAAAGTTTGAAGCTAAGATTCAAAAGTTTTGTAGTAAGCTGTAAGAGGATACTTTTACTCCACCTACTCACATACCTTCAGATTACACCTGTGTGCATGGTTATAGAGTTATTTTAGTAGTTGTTTGTAGTGTTTTGGAAAGTGACAGCTTGATCCTAACTGTGGAAAGATTATATTATTATGTACAATGTACCGCTGTAACTTTACTTTGTGTTCTGGGAAGACTGCCACATCACAACAAAAATATCTCTATCAATATTCTCATGTAGTAATATCAGGCATAATTATATAGCTATGTGTAATATCTGAAGGTATGATGTGCAAGTGGAGTAAAAGTATCTTTATTACCACTTACATTCTATCAAAACTGAACAGACTTTTGATGTAACTTGCCAAGAAATAAAAGAATAGTTTATTAAATTTATTAAAGTTTAGCTTAAGGATATAACAATAGCAATATATTACTGTTTTGGCATATCTCATCACTTTGCTGATTCTGCAACTATACTATTTATTATTATTATCATTACAAAATAAAAGTAAAAATAAAACAAAAAAAAAATAAAAATGTTCAAGATAATAAAACTAAAAACTAAGGTTGTTCGAAATATCAAGAGAAATGTTTTTATTTTGGCAAAAAGGAATTTCTTGTTTTTCTTCTTTTTCCACAACTATTTTATATTTGATCCTTTATTTACCTTCACCCTTCATAATCCATAATCACGGGGGGGGAATAAACAATTATCTTGAATGAAGGATGATAATTCATCTAAACAGTAACACATATCATTTCATGTTTTCTCATGTGATTTCGGTTAATTTTGTGCTACCTCACTATATAAATCTAAATTTTATCCTTTTCTACAACGAAAATAATCCTCATGGCTATTCGTAAATAAACGCCATGGACAAAAGTTACATCCAAGATCATTATCATGATGGCAGTTATAAAGTATCATTGCACCGATCATAATTTGAGTTCCAGGTGGGACTGTAAGACAAATCAACGAAAATGGACTGGCCTCTACTCACTTAGTTTGGGTATTAGAAGTACACATATTGCTAGAATACCTGTTTATTCAGCTGGGTGCACGACGTAATACATAATAGGCTTCCATTTCATCAGCTTCTCTACCATTATTTGCATTATTTGATGAAAAATAGTAAACCCTGTAATTCCCGACGGTTTGGATGTGAGTTGAACAATATATATCTATGGTAAATGTCTTCGTCTCCAAAGTGCCATTACTCCAAATAGAATTATCAAACTTGTATCCCGCATAGAGAATAAAATGATGAATATCTAAGTATAAAGAAAATTAAAAATCTTTTTAAATCATTTCTTAGAAATGTACCTGTACATTTAGAAATTCTTGTTAGAGCAAATGTTCTATTAAGCATAATAGATAAGAATATTGTAAAAAACAATTTTTCATGTTTATGTTTATATTATTGTAGGGTTGTAAAATTTGGGTTGCATTTATATCATCAGAATAGTGTTGTTCAAACCAGACCGGACTGAAACAATCCTATGATGCTGAACCGGTTTGACTTGGGGATTTCAAGTCATCAGTTCAGTTTGACTTCGAGCTGGTCAATTTGCAGTTTAGCTTGACTTGAGTCGCTCAAGTCAATGGTGAGTCAATGGGGCTGATGGGGTCGAACCATGTCACATGTTATCATTTACATTTTATCCAAATAAATAAAATGAAAAAAAATAAAAAACGTTTAATCATTTAATTATTTATATTTTTATATTTTATATTTTTTTTACGTTTTATTTATTTTTTATTTTAAGATCATAGAATAAATAAATAAATACACTAAACTGTCCATCCGTTTAATCAACTAACCATTCATTCACCCATCCAATCATCTATTTATTTTTCTATTATTAATTTAATTATTTAAAGATTTATCTATCTATCTTTCCACTCAACTATCAAACCATCCATCCATTTATCCGCTCACCTACCAAACCATCCATCCATCTATCCGTTCACTTACCAAACTATCCATCCATCTATCCGCTCACCTACTAAACTATCCATCTATTCGTTTATCTGTTCAGCCAACTATCTATTCGTTCACCCATCCAATCATCTTTCTATTTTGTCTATTATTAATTTATTATTAACCTATTTAATAGATCCCATTTTATCTTACTTACAGTACCTTCAATTTTTAGTGCTCATCTTTGATTATCTAATATCGAGATAAATAAGTAACATCTTTTAATTCTATTAAATAACGTCTATTAAATTTACCTGTACTAAAATCTTTTTTTTTTTTTGATCTACGATAGATCAAGCGAAGAAATCTTTTTTTGATCTATAATAGATTAAGCAAAGAAATCTTTTTGATCTATAACAGAACAAGTGAAACAGTTATAATTTATAATGCATACCTAATAATATGAGTTGGCATCCCGTGGCTCATAGACTTTTTTTTCTGATATTTTCGTTTGTAAGATGAAGTAGGAAAATAATTTAAATGGAGAAGTGAAATAAATGGAAAATCGCTGGTTCAAAAAATGGCATAAAAAACAAGACCATAAGAACTTAAAAATGGGATTGAATTAGAAACTAAAAAACAAATGGGCAAACAAATTGAACAAATGAACTAATGTAAGAATGATGAAAGAATAAGTGAATGATCAAACAAGCATGTTAAAAAACCTACTCACCAATTTGATTAGTATTGAATTATTTGCTCCCTTTATATTGGATGATATCTCAACACAAAAATTCTAATTTGTATGGCAACCAAGAAATATTCTATTTTGAAAGGTAAATATTTATAAATATATCATTCATGTCATATTGAAAAAAAATAAAACGAAAGAAAAAATACTTATCTTTTAACAATGTTTCTTTCCATTGATGAAAATTATTTTATTTTCTTCTTTAATGAATGATCATTGATTATCCATCTTATAGATAAGGAAATTAAAAAAAATCAATTTTTTCACTTTACTTTTTGAACTGTTTTTTACTTCATATCTATAATGAGTGATATTGATGATAATTTGGTGGAGAGAGATTATGAAATGGAAGATCCAGTTATTATTGAAAGAATCCAGTCATTATTATTAATGAAAATCCAGTTGTTGAAGGAAATATACATGAATATGACAAGAAAGAATCTAATAAAATTGAGTCAGATAAAAAAGAGAAAAAACAGACTCCAGTTTGTGCACCATGTTCTGTTTGGGAACACTATAAAAAATATTTAGAGATGATTGTATTCATATACATACAAAATGTGATTATTGTAATCAAAAATATAGTGTAAAATGTTCTACAACAACTCTTAATGACCATCTTAAAAGAAAACAGGAGAAAATTCAACCAAAAAAGTGGAGTCAATTGAAGCAGCATTTACAAATGCTCAATTAACACTAAGAGAAGATTGTTTAAATTTATCAGATAAGTTTGTTAACTGGATGATTATTGAATGTCTACCATTTAGAACTGTAGATAGTTTACCTTTTCGTGAATTTATTAGTGATATTAATCCTAAATTTCAAATTCCTTTATGACAAACTCTTTGTAAGAAAATTGATGATAAATATATTCAATATAAAAATAACATTCTTAAAATGTTTCAGGTATATTTATTTTTTTTATTATCAATTATAATTAATTTCTTTAGATTATGATGTTATATTGTTTAATTATTTAGGAAAATAATTCAAAATTTACTTTTACATCTGATATGTGGACTTCTGATACTGGTGCCCCTTACATGGTTCTAACTGCACATTGGATAAACAATGAGTGGAATTTGAAACATGCAGTAATAGTATTTCAAAAGTTTTCTCATCCACATAAAGTAACAAATTGAAAGGGCTACTTTCAATATTCTTCAAGAATTTTCGATTGCATCAAAAGCTTTACCAATTACAATTGACAATGCATCCAATCAAGTTGTAGCTATGACAAAACTTACAACTACTCTTTCAGATGAATTCCAAATATCTTTTAGTGTAATTAGATGTGGAGCACATACGATTGCTCTTGTAGTAAATGCTGGCTTAGGAAAATTTAAAACTATTTTTGAAAAGGTATGAGAATTTATTATAGAAATACAAAAATCTCCAAAAAAAGAACAAGAATCTTCATTAGCAAAAAAAATTAAATATTAAGTATAGAAAATTAATTAGAGATGCTAAGACAAGGTGGAATAGTACTTACTCTATGTTAGAAGCTTTTATTTCAAATAAGACAACAATTATTTCAACAATAACAAGAATAATAATTTTGCAAATTTGAATTTAAATGAAAATGAATGGGGAGATTCAATATTTTTGTGATTTCTCGGAACCTTTTTTTAATTTTACTGAAGTAATGTCTGGTCGTAAATATCCAACCCTTGGAACATTACTTCTTTTATTAGATTATTTAAAAGATCATTTAGTAACTACACAAAATAATGTAGAAACACCAATATGGATTATAAATATTGCTGAAGTAATGGTTGATAAATTTAGTGCTTTATCTGAAAAGCTTTATAATTCAACAGCATATTTGGCATTAATTTTGGATCCTTAGTATAAAACACAAGTTTTGCCAAATGAGATTGATATAGATACTATTAAAAAATTACTTACAAATGAGTTTAATAATGACAAAATAAGTGAAGAATCAGTTGAAACTGAAATTAATTATGAAAAAAATGTAGAAATTAAAAGGAATGCATCAGGAATATTAGAACAGATACTTCAAAAAAAGAAAAAATCTTACAATTTACAATCATTTGATAAAATTGATGAATATTTATCAGTACAGATAGTGTGGCGACACGGAAACGTTCGTGACCACTGAAGGTGGCGAACAGAGGTGGTAGTTGCACCAAGTAGATTATGTGCCACCACCTGGGTGAAAT